TTTAAGCTTTAGCCTAACATGCTCTAATCTGTAGTTTGCTTGTTGATTATTGATTGTGCTTGCAGAAGCGGGGAAGAGATGAGAATTGTGAGGATAAAGATCTAGTCGATTCATTGAGAGCTGTTGGTGAGCTCGGGAAAGGGTTTGTTAGAAATATATATTTGCTGAAGGCTCCAAAAGTAAAAAGTTGAACTATTTTGATCAAAGAGTAGCTGAAGCTGAGGAATAACTATTCATAATTTGGTCTTTCTTTTACCGTTTTATACAAGTTGTACCTCCTCCCTCGAGATTATTGTAGTTAGGCATAGGTTACTGATGAGCAGCAATTTCGTGTAACTTTGCATACCATACTAATACTTTGGTATTTATACATGATAATGTACCGTTCAAAGTATACACTTTCTTAGTTGACAGTTTAAACTAAAGTGTCCATTTACGTGCGAGAGATTTGGTTGGGGGTTTCTTTGTTGGGATTTAGAGGAGAATAGCTAATTAGTTTATGGCCCTGTTTGGTAGGGATTCTCATTTTCTACAGTAAATCAATTCTCATTTTCAACCACACATTCTTCAATAAAATAATATTTTCCGTCACATCAATAATTTTTTTCCTTTTTCAACCACACATTTCCCATCATATTACTATTTAAAATCAATTCTTCCCCCAAAAAATCCCCACCAAACAAGCTCTATATTTTAGGGAACTCAATTTGTAGAGTCAAAAAAGAATTTTTCGTCTTTTAACTTTACTTTTCTGTTTTGATTTTACAAGCAAATTTCTTGTACACATGTTAATATCTTCTATTTTATTTATTTATTTTCGGTTGAGAAAATCATTATCTGAGAAAATGTAAGTATTTAGTGGAATGTGAATCAAATGATATATGTCGTGATTTTTAATGGTCGTCGTATCACGTAGGCATATATGATTGTCTTATCGAAATCTTTCTCCTTGTTAAAGCAATCGAAGGTTTATACTCATATAACTATTAACTTCGTTTGAAAATGTTGACTTTTTGACGATATCTTAAGTTTCAGATATTAATTTGAAATATAAGTGGGTTGAGAAATAGAGACATTTCACTAGGGTCCGTTTGATTGTAAGAATGGAAAATGGGTGGAAAGAATATGAATTTTAGAGAAAGTAATTGTCTAGAAATTGTTTTGTAAGGAACTGTTAATTAAGTGTATTTGATTTGTATATTTTTTATCTGAAAAATTTTTAAATTTTGTGTTCGTTTGGCTTTATTTTATATGGAAATTGTCCATTAAAATGATAATTTTTTTTTTTACAATTGGCTATAAAATTTGTTTTCATTGCTAAAAAGTAAAAAAAAAAAAACGAAA